GCAGGCTCAGTTTTCAGTGTTCCAGTTTACTATGCTGATCAGTTTTCAAGATGGCGGCCATTCAATGAGTGGCTATTTCAGTCTCAAACAATTTATTCATTTGTCAACGAATTTTAGCGCGTTTTCCTGTGGATTTTGGATTTATCCTACTCTGCACTTTCCAAACGTCTCTGGAAATGCAATATCTGGATCACTGAGTTTTTCGAATTTTATACGTTTAATACGGACTCACGGAATGTAAACAATGTTGTCTGCGTTAGCGCATCGCATTGCATGCTCAGAGACCATGTGCATTTATGGATAACGTTTGTATTTGTGAGTAATACTTGTGTTTCATTGGCAGTGGCGTGTTGGCAGGGGGGGGCACGCCCCCCCCCCCCACAGCTGGCAATTCTTGGGGGGGGGGGGCGCAAAAATAAAATGGGGGCGCCGTTCCGTGGGGAATTTTGAAAGTGGGTGGGAAAAAACGCATTTGAAAAAATATAGTTACTTCCGTCAAGAAGTATATATTTATATAGGCTTATAAACAGATCGAGACTAAGCGCATAGACGACAAAGTGATATATTAAATTACAGACTATTTGGTCTAACCGTATTTGCTAATTTGCTACTTCACGGCTCACACAAAATCGTTCATATAGAAACATGATCAGTGATCGCACACAATGTCTCATTACCGGAATATTGGTCAGGTTTCGAAGCGATCACGGGAATTATGCCCTTTCAGTTTGCTGGTATTATATATGCCCTTATATTATGAAGGTATTATGCTTCACGAATCACGAGAGCGGCGCAAATTAGATAGTTATGATAATGTAAGTTGTGTACGCAATTTAGTTGTTTGTGCAAGAAACATCATGACTCATGAGTAATGTAAGTGATAAGATAATGCTGAAAAGCGCCCTTTTGGCAGCCAAGCAAGGTAACCTTAAAGTGCATATGCGTGGGGTCCGTGTGTTATTGTATAAAAGAGCTGTATGTTGTAAATGTATTCAGATCACCAGATCAGTAGAGAATAGAATTGGGATTAGATTAATCGCTGGAACTGAGTTAGCATTGCCCAATTTAAGAACTACTACTATATATAATTCTAACCAAATTGCAAATTTCAACACGTTATAATGCCGTTTCCTGACCATCAGATTTCTGTCAAACCTTCCCCCCAAAGTCCAGGAAATGGCATTTCAGAGACCCTAAATTCAAAATTTTCCGAGGGGGCATGCCCCCGGACCCCCCTAGAGAAACCTCGCACCTGCGGCGCTCGGCTCGTGCCTTCGACACTCGTTTATCAAGCGTTACAATATAGGGGCGCATATTAGTTGAAAGCCCACTGGCCCCCCCAGAAAATTAGTACCCAGCACGCCACTGTTCATTGGGCATTGGAAAACATCTCCTGAGGATCACACCACGCTTTTAGCCTTTCACCGTTTCACACTTTTCGTTTGCGGTTCACGTTTTGTATTCTTGTCAATTGCACCATAGCACGTATGTCACCATTTTCAGGTCAGTATGAACGCCTGAGCAGGCGTCTTGTTAAAAATAGAATCGGAACTCCGTTCGTTTTGTAAGAATACAAAATTTGATGAACAGGCTGTATTTCCGTAAAAATGCAGGCAATCGTTTCAAGGAAAACTGAGAATTTTAAAATCGCATCAGTCATATCTTCGAGGTTCCGAAATAGAATTGAAACATTGCGCGTCCCAATCTCGTTCCCCGAGCCTGCTATCCTCGGGAATTGGAACGCGAGGCTCTGGGATAATCCCTTGCCGGAAGCCAGGAATCCAGGCTATAAGATTGAACTGCGCATTCCATATCAACGGCCAATCAGATTCCTCCCCGAAACGGACTATCCCAGAGCATCACGTTCCTTCTTGAGGATCGCAGGCTCGGGGAACCGGATTGTGCGCGTCCTCCAAGACAAGCGTTTAGACGTTTAGTTTAGTTTAGTTTAATTTAGTTTAGTTTAGTTTAGTTTAGTTTAGTGAATTTTTCAAATTTACATACATTACATTAAACATTGTTTGACATAAAAAAAGTATACAGAAAACAAGAACAATGACAGTTAGGATTTGCAGGGACGTCGTAAATTAAGACATCAACACTGGGGGGGGGGGCGGGTCGTCATATTTTGACCAACTTTTGCTAGAATTTTGACCAAGTCAGTAGAGATGTTTTCGGACTAACATAAGCAAAGCTTGTATTTTTCGACCAAAACAAGCAAGGGTTGCGATTGTTTCAGGGCGACATGACCAAAGCTTAGAAATTGTTAAAATTACGAACGATTCCATAACTTTGACCATCTTTTATCTCAAACTTTGACCAAATTTTACCAACTTTGACCTTCAATTTTAAGAAAATATTAGTAGTCCATTTTGACCAACTTTGACCAACGTTTTGAATTATTGGGGGGGGGGGTTACACCCCCACCCCCCCGTAGCGACGTCCCTGGAAGATTTGAAACAGAACTCACGCCCCAATTGATATCGAACATTTGGAGCCACGTTAGGTCGTCACGAAAATATTTCGTAATGCTTGCACCGGCAATCCGGTCTAGAAATCCGAGGGAAACGCGAGTTCGAATTCCGCCTGAAGCAACGAATTTTTCGTTGTCCAGTGGCAGACGTGCAATGCCAGAATAAATATGAAACTGGTAGCGCATTTCTTGTCGCAAGAAAACATAAAAAAATATGATTAAAAATATGCTGTGAAAATTACAAAACCTAATGATTAGAGTTACCAGGTCTAACTTTGTCAAAATCCTAATAAAGCCTCAAAATTTGAAAACCCAAGATTCCGTGTTTTTCTCTCCAAAAATCCCAAAGTTCCCACTTTCGTTTCCAAGCCCCTCAACGCTTGTCGAAACCATTGAAATATAACTGGAACGCTACCTTCAGATAAACTGCCTATCTTTTTCTTGAAGCCAAATCTTGACCCCAATACCCGCGTGTTTATATCATGATTGATTAATTGAGCGCTCTTCGCATGCGTGAAAAGACGGGGATTGGCTGTTGGTTGGAGGTAATTCTGATTCATTCCAATGGTCGAAACTGACTCGTACGCAATATTCACATTCAGTTGAAAGAAATTAAAGCTTGTCACCGTTTCGCGCCTTTTTCGGGCCATAGATTTCATGCAATAAGCTTCATATAATGTTAATAAAGAGCAGGGCCGTGCCAAGTGGTTTTTGGTTGGGGGGGGGGGGGGAAATTAAAAACTTGGGCTCCCTCCCATTTGGGGGCCCATCAAAATTTTTTTTCCAGCAACCAAAGAATTTTTCCGGAAAATATGGGGGAGGTGGGGAGGCCCCAAAAATTTTTCAAACACTAGGTTTACATAATGAGGGCTTAAATTTAGTTTTGAAGACCTTTTTAGACCAATTAGTTCCAGTAAATTCCTTAATATTTAACACGTTCCGCTTTCCAGGGCCCCTCTCCGCAATTTGGGCCCCCTTTTTTACTTTTCTTTGGGGGGGGGGGGTGATACACCCCACACCCCCCTGGTAGCACGGCCTTGATAAAGAGATCGTACACTACTAATAATACACGCTTCCGGAAAGTACGTCACTTTGGCTATAGAGCCTCGTTTTTGTGTATCTGACATCAGTAAAGGCCGCGTCTCAATCACGAAAACGAGGCTCTATAGTGACGTATTTCTCCAAAGTGACGTAATTTCCGGAAGCTTGTATCAATTTGTTGACTAAAATATATCAATAAAACTAGGTTACCTAAAATGTAGTAAATGCTGCCTTTAAGAAGCACACGCCATGAACGTTTTAAAATACTATTTGTAGTGATTGCAAATCAAAGATGTGTTATCGCATATTCGCATATACGAAATATACAAATACAAAATTTGAAGCGTAGCCTATAAAACTGCGAAACGTATTAAAATACTATCTAAAATATAGTGAAATATAGTAGTATTAGACTTAATATGAAATCCGATAGTATATTTGTCGTTTGTATTTGTACGCGCACTATAAAAACAGCGATTAATTCAACAGATTCCACTTGATATATTCTTGCTTATGCTTTAGTGAACATTACTTCACACAAAGGCCCGTTTACACTTGCAATTTTCACTGCGATTTCTACAACGATTTTTTGAAATCTCCAATGTACACACCCTGGGATTTTGACTGCAACTTTGGTGCGACAACACTGCAATTTGCAGCGATTTTTCCATTTTACTGGCTTGTAAACTGAGTTAAATTTTCAATACTTCACTCAAGTTTACAAGCAATACAAAGATTTTGTTCTAATTAGGTTGTTTACGGCTGTTTTCTGACAAGTGATTGGCTGTAGAAAAAAATTCCCCGACTGTTCGTCGCCTGTTAGTGACGTTAGTGATTTTAATATGAGTTATGTCATGCAAAATGGGTCTGAAACTTTCTGTATTGAACTACCACTCGCTCACAAATTAATTAACTGCATTTATAATTCTATTGTAGATTTATACCTGTGCAATATTGCTTTTAAAAACAGCGTGAAAGTGAAGAATTGTAAATATTTAATAGCACTGCAATTCAAATAGCCGCCCTGATAGCCGCGCGTTGCATGTTGGTAAAATGACTTTCAACCAACATGCTTTGCGGCTCTAACAAGATTGAGATTTTAAGTAGCTGTACGATTTTAGTCTGCTGCCTTGCTCGCTCGCTTAATGCTCGCTCGCTGCGGCAGCAATTAAATTATTTTTCATGACTGTTTTTTTGAAAATCCCAAAGTCTCATTTCTGAAAATAAATCCCAAAAATATCCCAACCGCTTCAAAAAGTCCCAAGATCGTGGGATAAAATCCCAAGTCTGGCAACTTAATTTAACTCTGCAAATGACACACCAACAGGCATGAAAGTGGATAAAATATGTACACAATTGAGCAATAAGGAACATTGCAGGACAACAAACTACACATGCCTACCTAAAACTGTTTTGATCCACTAGCATCCATTTAGGTACCATCAAATACAATCCTCACCACAAACATCCCATTCAATCCCTACATATCCTCCTGACCTTGGTCGTTCTTTCGCTTCTCCGAACGCCGGAACTACAGTATGGCAGCAATACAGAGGTTTGGATTTCAGAAAACTTTGGTAAAATCAGCTCTGAGGGGCTTAAAAACGAGAACTACGTCTCCTTATGTCCTCAGCTCGCTATCTACACAATCGCTGCACAAAAGGAATTGTAAGTTTAGTTTATATTCGCTTCATTTTCGAGTGTATAATGACCTATAACAGAGCCGGCGCGATTGACACAAATTTATTTGTCACACGTGTTTAGATTCTGATGGGGGGAAAATCAAAGTCGATGGATCTGTCGTCGAGTTGGACGGAGACGAAATGACACGAATTATTTGGGAGAAAATTAAAGAAAAGGTAGTTATAGTAAAAACGATGTTCAAGGTTTAACTAAAGTGTATTAAAATTATTGTTTATGTAATTACGTGTCCCATGTGACATGTGTATTGTCGATTTCAAGGTTGCAATTTCAACATTCTATGGACAATTAAAAGCAATAGTAAAAGTCTGTCACGCAATTTTTAGTGTGGGTTTTGTAACTGGAATTTTTGAGGTTAAGTTTGATTTCGCAAGCTGTAAAGAGAAGGGAATATTAATATTGTAGGCTTAATCTGAATAAGGAAATATTAGGAAATTTAAATTCTGTGATATGAAACTGTTGGCACACTTGTAAATGTACAAAGTTAACTTTTAATAGTCTGTCTGTGAATGAGACAGCAATAAGTTGAATAAAGCCTGGTTCACATATGCCTGCGACTGTATCATTATGCCTCTACTTGCCGCCGAAATACCGGCAAAGTTGAACTCAAGTCAACTTTCCCGGGCTACCGCCGATGTAACTGTGGCACTGGAGGCAATCGGCGAACAAATATTCACATAGTTTACGTTTTAAGCTACCGCCGGCATCGTCGCAGGCACGTCGCAGGCATACTGTATATGTGAACCAGGCGTAAGACAGACCATCTGTCTATCTGGAGGAACAAACATCAGACACTTCCCTCTTAACAAGTAGAATTGACAGAATTTTTTGACAGATTTAAAGGCAAGGTGAAATGGATTAGGGTTCATTGCAACTTAATATGTTAATATCAGTCATAAATGTTGAAGGAAACCTTGCAGTACTGGCTTCACCTTAATCTGGTTTACTTATTACTGTTGATTTCAATTTGCTTTTGAAATATGACTTTGAATGTTAATTTCGGAACATTTGTTGCAAAATTTCCAAAAGTTGTTTTTATTAAAGTTCATTCCGATGATTTACAATGATTCAAGAGTAAGCAATTTGATTGGCTGGCTTATTTAACCAACCAGGGTGCATTCCATGCATGTTCTCTGGACGATCTTCCGCATGAGTTTTGGATTGCTGACGCACAATCACGTCGAAGTTCTGTTGGCGCACAAGTTTTGAGTTTTGGTGGTTGGCGCAGCATCAAATGTTCAAGCGAGACTTTGAGTATTAATAATTGCCTGGTGATTGGATTGGCCTCTATAATTCTTTAAGGACTCAAGAAATTTGTGTGCCTGGTTGTGTAAGAGTAGCTAAATGGTGGTTATAACTTATGATACAACAGTAACAACACTTGTCATTGCTCATCAGCAAAACATTTTTTTCATCAGTTACACACCTTTTTAGCAAGTTTCAATTTTAACCAACTAACTAATGAAAAAATCATGGTGCCCGCGATCAGCCGGCGCACAATTATACATCATTGGAATGAACTTCGAATCAAACTTTGGAAGATTCCAAACTTCTAAACAAACATTCAAAGTCAGATTACAAAAGCAAATTGAAATTGAAAATAAAATCTAACATCCCTGAACAAGTAGCCTAAATGTGCAAGTTTGATAGGGACTTTATCCATTGATGTAATAAAGTAGGGTGCATCAGGGCACAATGCAGCTTAAGGGGTTAATCTATAAAACTGCTTTATTATGATTTATTGTAGCTTATTCTTCCATATCTTGATTTGGATATCAAATATTATGATCTTGGTCTACCGTATCGAGATGAAACTCGTGACCAGGTGACAATTGAAGCTGCAGAGGCCATCAAGAAGTATAATGTTGGGATTAAGTGTGCTACAATCACTCCTGATGAAGCAAGAGTGAAAGGTACTGTACATATTAGGTTTTAGTTCAATATGAAATGATATATTAAAATCTCCAATTTGTTAAATTCTAATGCTTTATTCACTAACAGTTTTGGCACAGTAGTTCCAAATTAGCATTTTGTATAACGTCTTAAGGCCTAAAAAAATACCTGTGGTTCCGGTTTCCCGACCAACCCTATTTTTTTCCGCTGCAGCCCTCGAAAACGAGGTCGGCATTCGCCAATGCCAGGTCGGCAAATTTTTGCCAACCTTAATTTAAGGTAAGACTCCAAAAGGAAACCCGTCGTGTTACTGTAGTTCGCGTTTCCCCGGCAAAAGGTGATTACTAGTGCTCCAAGACATGGAAACAGATTTTTAAAAATGCCGAGACGTGTCGACCTATGTCAGATTTAGGTCGACCTCGTTTTCGAGGGTGCTGCCAACCATATTATTTTTTCAGTGTGATTATTTAACTGTGCAACCCTATTTTCTCCGGGTGGTTGACTGGTTGCGGCAGGGGTGTGTATTCTTCTATAATCCCCCCTGGGGGGGGGGAAAGGAATCAAAGGGTCTTAGGGCCAGAGAAGAAATTCAAAGAAGAGTGAAAAAGAAAGGAAGAGAAGGGAAAGGAAAAGAAAAGAAAGAGGGAAAAGAAGAGAACAAAGCCTGGAAAAGAAAGGAAAGGGCAAAAGGAAAATGAGGGGGCAAAAGGAAAAGAAGAGAAAGGACAAGGGATGAGAATGAAAAAGAACTGACTCACAGAGAAAACTTGGGGATCAGTCTCATATTATGTCGGCAAGGAGGGGGAGGGGTATAGATGAAGTATGACTTTTTATGGCAAGAGGAAGGGGAATTGGAACATAATGTCAATATTTAAATCAAAATTTTAAAAAAGTGAATATATATATTAATGTTTGTGAAACTAAAAACGTTTGTTAAAAAATGAGATGCAGAAGTTCTAAATAAACTGAAAAATTTGTTGTCAAAATCAGCATTGTAACATCATTTTTCTATGTCTTGAACCAAACGTTTCTGCGAAAATAATTCTTTAAATCGTAGGAAAATTACTGGAATAGTAAAGGTGGAGCCGACAGACTCCGATGCCGCGACCAAATTTCTTCAAGATACAGGGAAGAAAATCAAAGCTGAAGAGAGGGGGGAGGGGAAGAAATCAAAGGTCACTGAAGAATATACACCCCTGAGTTGCGGGCTGCTCATACAGTGTGCCAAAATGGTGTCTGTTGTCATACTAATTATTGAACCAAATTGCCTAAATTCATCCATAGGAAATACGCATCTCTAGTTAATATTGATGTTGGGACTCTGTGTACTGAAAATCGCCCAGCAAAAAAAACACTAAAATTTACCCTTGCATTTTTCGAATGCAAACCGCAATGGACCTTTCACCTTTTGACTAAAATTTAGATCTCAACAAGTCTAGACAAAAATTCCATCACAGCTTGAAAGAGCATCACAAAATTAGTAATATTCCAAAGTTTCGTTGCGAAATGTTGTAAAATGCGGATAATAATAGCCCTGCGAAGTTTGCAATTTTCAGTCATTTTGTATTACGCGCGGGAAATACATACCCTTTTTCCGAAGGTGGTATGTATTTCCCGTGCGTAATACAAAATGACTGAAAAACGGCAAACTTCGCAAGGCTATATTTTCCGCATTTTACAACATTTCGCAACGAAACTTTGGAATATTACTAATTTTGTGATGCTCTTTCAAGCTGTGATGAAATTTTTGTCTAGACTTGTTGAGATCTAAATTTTAGTCAAAAGGTGAAAGGTCCATTGCTGCTGATAAATGAAGCTGAAAATGAAATTACTGTTGGCAGTTTTTTGCTAATGATGATTTTTATGGGCATTACTTTAATTAGTTCAATTGATTCTTCTAAAAACTTTGCTAGCTGCTATATATGTTTATGAACTGAGGCTGGTTGTTCGAAAGCCAGTTAGCTTAATCCTAGGTTGATGAAACTTTCAAAGCAATCTTCCCATCAGCCTGTTTAGAAACATGAAGATAGAAGTTTCACAATTCATGTCTTCATCAATAGAAGTTTTATTTTCCCAAGTTTTGAAATAAGCAGAAGGTCAAATTAGGACACAATGCAACTTACTGTAATGGGTTAAAAATGAAAGTTACTGTAATTTTAAGTTGTTTTTCCTTATTATTCTGCTTATTGGTCATGTTTTAGAATTTGTTCATTAATTAACCCATTAAGCTGCAATGTGCCCAAATGCACCCTAGTTGATCATTTTACTGTACTCTGTCTAATGCCAGGCCTTTTACTCGTCAGGGGAAGAATCATGCACTTTAAAGGGTTAACATAATTACATAAAATACGAGGTAGTACTGTATTCTAACTATCCAAACCACTTGTGTACTGTACAGAGTTTCAATTGAAAAAGATGTGGAGAAGTCCAAATGGTACAATCAGGAACATCCTTGGTGGTACTGTGTTCCGTGAACCAATCATTTGTAAATCTATTCCAAGATTGGTGCCTGGCTGGGAGAAACCCATTGTGATTGGTCGTCATGCTTTTGGTGACCAGGTAATATATGGTTGCTTTCTCAATTAAATGTGCAGTATATACTGTATGTGCTGTGGGATTGAAATACCTTACCTCAATACTTGTGTATGCTACGTTGCCACAGGGTGTAAAGCCAATCCCAAATGAAACATCAGCTTTTCATAAATATACTGTATTGCTCATGCAAAGATCTCACAGCTTGTGAACAAAATGTGTTTGCATTGCTTGTTCCCAGTTGTGTTGAAAAGTCTGGAACAAGTTGTTATCATTTTGTAACAAGAGGTTGCTGAGGTCAACAGACATGCAAAAAGTTGTTCCAAAAGTCTGATGTTGTCTGCACGTAACAAGTTGTTAACAAGTTAATGACAACAAACTCGTAGCAACTTGTTGTGGACAGCCTGTATTAGTCTAGACTCAGTTCCGAAATATCACATACTTGAACCGACCTGACCGCGTAGCTCAGGCTATGTTTACATTGTATCGGATCAGTTTTTGTTTCGTTCGCGAAAAGTTACGGCCCGAGTGTAAACAGCTTCCGCCCCGCCCATCTATGCCGTCGTATTTTCTTCTATATATTATTAGAATAATAAGTTGTTGTTTGCCAGATTCCATCCGAGTCACGCATTGAACCGAAATTGCTCCGATTGGTGTTTACATTACAATGAGAGCGTTGCAAAAACCGATCCGATACACCGCGCACCACTTCGATAACAGCGTTTCATATGTAAACAGAAGCCCTATCCGATATGGTTTTTGCGTCGGACGCAAAGTGATCCGATACAATGTAAACATAGCCTCAGTTGACAGAGCATTGGGCTAGTATTCCAAAGGTCGTATAGGTTCGATTCTCGCTGTGACCAGGCATATTTTTCAAGCTTGTCCGGTGTGGATATACACTCAGAGTAACATCACAAACATCTGTATTAGTCTTGTTGGAACAATTTGTTAACATCGTCAATCTTGTAAGTTGTAACAAGATCATAACAACTTGTGCTAGGCTTGTCATAACAACTGCGAACAAGTTGGAACACATCCTGATATCGGCTTGACAACAAACTTGTAACTTTCAACTTGTTTGCAGATCTGTTACAACTTGCACGTTTTTATGCATGTCCAGTACATCGAATACGGTAGTCACTATAGTCAGTATTGTAATTCTTTCTTGAACGGCGGTGCCAGCCCAGTGGGTAGTGACAATAACAGACAGCTGTAGTGAGAAGGAGATACAACTACCTGAAAAATATAAGCAGAACTTCGACGTTTCGACGAAGGCCCTTACATTTTGCTTATACTTTTCAGGTACTTGTACATGTCCTTCACATCGCAGCTGTTTATTATATTTCCTTTCCTATTCTTTGTTCACGTGTATTCGAACATGTGCTCGCAACGAGCTGGATTGATACCTGAATTTGCCATATCGCCAGGGACAGTGTGGTTTCGCACCTCCATTTATGATTGTACAAAGGGAAGCAGAAGCAAATATCCTAGCTTGCGAGGTTGTGAAAACATCATGATCACCTTATTTCTACTTAAATGGCAGGTCTCACGTTATGTCGTAATTTTCCATTGTCTTCGATCTAATGTCGTCATTATTGATGTTTTGATTGTGTTGCATTTCCAATCGAGTGAGATGAGGCTCTTTGGTTTTTCTTAAACCATCTCTCCATTTCCCATCTTTTCCGTCGTTTTACCACTTACCAGTTGGTCCCGCTTTGCCTAACTTTAAGTTGACTGCCCTGGAAGTATACTGTACAAATTAATATGCAGACAGTTGATGTTGCAAAAGCAACTGACAGTGTGGCAATCTTGCACGCAGTGTAAAATAGTTTGCCGTGATTGGTACGGGCTAGTACTGTCTGGTACCATTATACAAACTTGGGTTCCTGTTGAGCATGGTGGTTAATTAGCATAAATACCGATACAACTACTGGACTTGAGTGTTATTCGAAGTTACTAAGTAAACATAATTAAAGATCAAAGGTCTTCGAGTGGCCTTCCACAGACTTTAATAATACAATGTCTGGGATTATTTATCTACCGGATGGTGATAAAAGTAATAAAACGGCGAATATGGATCCCACAATTAATGAAAGGAAATTTTAATTTTGGTTATACCAGTGGTCCCAGACATTGGGATCCATTACGGATTTGCAATGGTGATTTTGCGCGCCGCGAGTTTGACAACATTTATTCTATTTCTATACTGAATATGAACAGACCATTTACAAATATACGTCAAATATGCGTAATCTGAAGTATTATATGTAAACAGAAATAATAATACCATTGGTCCAAACAATTTCACCTGTCGTCTTATCTTTTATATAATTGAATGAATGAATGAACAACTTTATTTAAAGAGGGTAAAAACACATGACAGCAATATAACTGAAAAACCTGTGGCCCTCATATACAATACATACAAAGTTATTAATTCTACTTTAAAACGTCTAAAAGCTACTTAGAGTAAATAT